CCATCACTCCCAATACCATATCTATGCAAATGATTTCCAAATATACTTGTCCTTCCTGCCCTCCGACCTATTATCAGACACTGAAAAACTTCAAGAAGACTTGGATAGGATTTGTGACTGGGCGAGAGCTAACAAGTTGAAGTTGAATGCGGAAAAGACAAAGGCAATCTTAATATGCTCCAATCACCTCCTTAAAACTGTTCCTAATATTCCAACTCTGTTCCTGCATGATAATCCCATCAAATTTGATACCTCTATCAAAAACGAAAAATGAGTTTTTTTTTTTTTTTAATTTAGATTGGTGTTGATGTTTAGTTGGTCATCAAAGCTACATTTGGATGGAAGATTGAAGAATTTGAAAATTTAAGGATGGAAATCCTACTTCCCTACTAAAGCCTTTTTTCAGAAAAGGCAACATTCACAATGAATAGATTATTTTGTTCCAGAAATCGCCTTAATCAGACAAAAGAAAGTCTTCTTACATTATATTATTTTTTTCAATGGAAACACACATTTTGAGATTTTGAGTTCAACAAATCAATAAACAAATCCCACAAAATGGAGTGTGTGTGTGTTTGTGAATAGCCTAGCTCAAAAACGAAAATTCGTATGAAACTGAAATTGCATATTTGAGGTTTTTATAAGCATAGGATGTTACAGCTACCTTTTTGTCAAAATCAAAACCCGAAGTGGTACTTTATATCATCTATTAAATTTTTACGATTTTCTCAAAAACGGCTGAAATAATTTTGATTCAACTCAGTATATCAGTGTATTATTAAGCAGTTTTTAATATAATGTAGATTTCATGCTCATTCATGTTCTCTAACAGGGCTTAAATGGCTAATTTTTAATATTAGCTTCCTCTAGAGTATCATTATTTTTTTTTTATTTGAAATAATTAATCATTTCACATTAATCTTTGACATAAGAAATAGTTAAATATAAAATATGAAAGAATTTGATAATTAACTAAAGGATAAATAAGAGGTCGTAACGGGGAATAATTGTAATGGAGGAACCAAAGGAGTACGAGCACGCCTGAGCTCACTGGAAAGATTTAGAACAATCTTCCATACGTAAGTAACATGAGCTTAATATAAACTGGACTCCGAAAATATAATGTACATATGCGGTTTACATAAATGCTATCATTGGTATTATTTAATACGTAATTGTATACATTAGAGTGATATAAAAATTAAAATTTGTATATATATAAGGGTAATTAAACAAATAAAAATACCCAAAATGAAATGTAAATAAATATAGTGTCTACAATTTTTACTTTCACTTCCCCTTTGTCTGAAAATACTTATTTCTGTTAATAACAGGGTGGTAAGTGAAAATCGTGCGATGTGCACACCAGATTTTTTATATTTAAAGATATAACTAATAATCATCAATTAATATTTCTAAAAAAAAATTAAATTCAACAATGCTTGAATTTATTTTCATGAAACATAAATATAGTGATCAGGAACATTTAGTAAGTCACTTAATACAATAAGGGTTAATTCTAACAATAAACTTCTACTTAAAAATATTTGGGCATTACAACTTAAGATTTTCCATTTTTACCAAAGCACTATTTTTTAATCTTGTTTTTATAAAAAAAAAAACTCTATTTTTTGTCATGGACAAAAAAAATTAATAAATTATTATGGTTATTTATACCAAAACACAGGTTCTTTGGGTTGACAGAATATCATATCACATAATTTGTTTAATATACGTTGATGTGACATTAACACTGACTTATTTTAAAACAACTCTCAACTTAATTAATATGAACTTAAAGCTTATTAAACAACAATGTTTTTCTAAAATTGGGATAACTGTAGAGTTGGAGGGTGATAGAAAAAAAATAGCAAATAATCCATAATTTTATGAAAAACAGAACTTAATGTAAATGCCTAAAGAATGGACTACTGCTATCATATGCTCTGTTTTAAAAAAAAAAAGAAAAAACAAACTGCGATAATTATAGAGGCATTTCATTGTTAAATACAGTATACAAAGTATTTGCAGTTCTGTTGAATAAAAAAGTTCAATTTTGGTCCGAGAAGGTTTTGGGTAAATACCAGTGTGGTTTTAGACCTGGTAAATCAACTATAGATCACATTTTCTCGATAAGGCAGATGTTAGAAAAAACATGCGAATACCAAATGGATTTACATCATGTTTTCATAGATTTTAAACAGGCATATGATAGTATAAGCAGAGAAGAATTACTGAAGGCAATGACAAAATTAGGGATTCCCAAAAAACTGGTCAGTTTGACAAGAATGACCCAAAGTGGTAGATCAGATGTGAAAATTAATGACCAATTGTCGGAGGATTTCGAGGTGAAAGATGGGCTTAGGCAAGGAGATCCTTTATCCCCTATCATATTTAATATTGCTTTGGAGTATGCAATAAGGACAATCCGGACATATCCTGGTGGCACGATTTATAAAAGAATGACCCAGCATCTGGCTTATGCTGATGATGTGATAACGGCAAAAAATAAAACATCATTAGCAGGGACATTAGAAGAATTCGAAACTGCAACTAAAGAACTAGGGCTACAAATAAATAAACAGAAGACTGTTTACATGCAAACGTCAAAAAAGCCAAGTGAAACAGTCGAACGCGTCACAATTGGTAACCACACCCTAAAAGTGGCCGAAAATTTTAAATATTTGGGAGCACTAATCACAGAAAACAATGAAATGGTAGAAGAATTAAAAGCAAGGATGACTGCCAGGAATAGGTGCTGTTTTGCATTGCAAAAAATCTCTTTCTCACAGAACAGAAATCACGGTATAGTCATCAGACCCGTCGTCACCTATGGCTCTGAGACTTGGGTGATCTCCAAAGCATTGGAAAAAAAGGCTACTCGCATGGGAGAGAAGGGTTCTCCGCAGAATCTATGGCCCGGTGTGCGAACAGGTAACATGGAGAATTTGCACTAATAAAGAACTATATGAAATTTATGCGAGGGAGGATTTGATCTCAATTGTGAGAGGAAACCAGATCAGATGGTTGGGCCATGTGGCGTGTATGCCCCGAGACCCAATTCCCAAACGCTTGCCAGAGGATTGGCCTGTTGGAAAACGTGGAAGGGGAAGACCACGCCTGAGATGGCTGGGCCAGGTAGAGGACAGCCTGAAAAGGATGGGAATTCGAAGATCGAGAATGCTCGCTCGGGATAGAGGACAGTGGTGAAGGATCGTAAGAGAGGCCCAGGTTCTTACAGGACCATAGGGCCAAAAATAAATAAATAAAATAATGTAGTTTAGCAGCTTAAAGGTATAATATCCTTTATACAGCTTTTGGTATTCTTTAAATGGCATTAACAAGGACATACTCTACGAGCATTCAAAGAAACTTAGGTCTAGTTTGAAATAATTACCTAAAATAAATTTTTTTTTTTTAGTTATCATTTCCTATTCAACAAAAAAAAATCTTTAAAAAATCTGGTGTGGTGCACCCATCACACAACCTTCACCTACCACCCTATCCTCAGTAGAAAAATGTGCTTTCATAAGTAGGAAAGTAAAAAACTACAGATGATATAAGATACTCATTTCAAATAATTAATTACCACACAAAACATTGTGGCTGTATTCAAATTTCATTATTAAAGAAGATATAGATTAAAGGAATTAGAGAAATGTTAAAAACTAATTCATTGCTACTAGGTAAATAAAAAAAAAACATTTTAAATTAATAAGAAGTAAAAGTGAATCTTGGCAAAAAAAAAAAAAAAAAATTAAAAGTGGGTCTGTAGTCAAAATTCTGAACTTTATCCAAAACATTAAAAAATAAAAAGAGTTAATATAGTAGATATATAGTCTCAACATTCAGCATGTTATGTTGAGTAATGTTTATCAACTAAACTAACAATAAAATAACAAATAACCGTGCACAGATGTGAGTAGCTTAAGTGGAGGAGGATCAGAGAATCGGGCGACCTCGACTATTTCCGCTTTAACAGTTTCTATGCCATCTATCCAGGAGTACTAACTCTCATTTCTCCATTAGTTATGTATCAAATTCGTTTATGATCTGCATTTATCTGTTTTGTATTAGTTGTTACAATGTGAAATGGTTAATTACTTTAAATAAATAAAATTAAAGGTATTTTTGATGAAGAAATTTTGGAAATGCGATATTTAAGTCCTGCTAGAGAACTTCAATGAAGATAAGACCTTAAACTAAAAATCACTTTATAATACATACATCTAAAGAGTTTAATCAAAATTATTAGAGCCGTTTTTGAGAAAATTGTAAAAATGTGTAAAATCGATTATATAAAGTGCCACCGCCGGTTAGCCAATTATGACAAAAAAGTTGCTGTAACATCCCAGGCATATAAAAACTTTAAAAAAGTAATATCAGTTTTGTATGACTTTTCGTTTTTGAGCTAGGAAGTTTACTCACACACAGATCATTTTGCGGGACTTGGTTATTTGGACTCAGGGGACCTTAAAACTTGTATTTCTGATGAAAACTGAAATTCGAAACATTCCACAATCGCAATACTTTCACTTACCTATATATGTAAATACAGGTAAATGGAAGTAAAAACACAAAACTTAAATTTTCTACTTTTTTTTGTGAAAAAATCGGACCGTTTATATAAACATTTTAGCAGCTCTTGAGGTCTGTTATAAAAGTTTTATATATTTCCGAAGGAAGTTAGTCGACTGTTTTATCATGGGTGATAAAATAGTCAGAATGCAGTGATTAAGATTTTTATTGTTGCGACATTTCAACCCAAGCATATGGGTCATCATCAGGGCATGTCACCAGCACTGAAGGTGTTCAAGTTATGTGGTGTTTCAGTTACATATTTCCCTTTACTTACATGACACCCTGTGTATTAACTGTACATTATATATTGTTTAAATTATGTGTATTAATGTACACAATGAAAAAATATTCATGTATACCATTAGCAATAGTAAATAAATTAAATATATTATTAGAATTACAAAACATAAGTCACATACGTCCATTTGCAGGGTATTTCTTTCTTGAAAGCTGTTGTGTTAGATTCGAGGCAAATAATCCCATCAGCTGCCTTGCAAAGAACTAAAATTAAAAAAGTAATTTATAAATGAACCAAAATATCCAAACATTTAATATTAAGAAACATTAAATATTAAATCATACAAAACAATTTAAAACTTGAAAAGAATGTCAATAGTCGTCAACATATACTGTAAATTTCTATAATTAATATATATTGTTCATATATAATTAAATAATTAATATATATTGTTTGTATCTTATACAGCCCTGAAGAAGACCTACGACGTAGGTTTAAACGTTGGACAACGCAATAAATATACTGTTATATAATATAGTATTTTTTTACTACATCCTCGACTAACTTCTTCTGAAAACAATTTAAAATTAAAAAGTAAATTTGCAAACGCCTATATCTTTAAGAAAAAAAAATATGTAAAAGATCCCCTTTTTATGCTTTAATTTGTTAATTATTATTATTTCATCAACTGACAATGTTGCAGGCTGTTTTGCCCATTTTCAAGTCATAGTTTTTTTTGGTTTTCAACTGCTGCACAAATTTTCTATTGGATTAATAAAGCTTTTTTTTAGCTCATACTCATGCTACATCATAACTCAAGTAAGTTCTAAATTCTTCATTTGATGTATCAGAAAAAAATAGGAATTCTAATTTGGAAAACTAAAGTCTATGACAATTGCTTAAACTTGCCAAGTTTGAAATTTACCAGAAAAATTACTGTAAATTCTATTTCAATATTATCTCTATCTTATAAAATAAGTGGGACACACTATAGAGCTTTATGCCTGATTTGCTCACTCTGCTAAGTTCACTGTAAGAACAGAACCAATGGCAGAGCCAAATACCTAAATATATAAATTTTTATTTTTGGTCTTATTTTTTAAAAAATATTCATTGATTTTTTGTTTCCATAAGACAAACTCTTCTTTTTGTCAGTCAATCTTTAGTGGTATTTTCATTCTAAAAAAGGGGAACTCACATTACCAAACACACATTTAAAAACAAATGACAAAAAAAAAAATCTTTAGATAAACAAAGAGTATATATTTTATTTTTTAATTGTTGGGCACATTTTTGATTTTGAAGATGTGCTAATTATATATAAAGAAAACATTAAATATAGAAGAAAAAATATTGATATTGGAGGCTATTAGAATTAGAGAATAAATTAAATAGGGCCATCCCTTTTAAAATTGACTTACACAATATAAATAAAGTATATGCTAAATTAATGAACAAATTAAAAAAAATGTATATTTTTTCTTAATTATTTGATAGTATATTTTTATAATGTTCAAAGCTATTCCAGCACAGAGTGCAGCAAAATAGTTTTTCCTCCATTTTCACTACAGTTGCTTGGGCATAATGTTTTAAAAGATATGGAGTGTTGGAATAAAAAAAAAAATGTATTTATATATAAAATTTTTATCTGCTTATGTGTATATATAAAAAAAAAATAGTTTACATGAAATTAAAGCCGTCTGTTCTAAGCTGTCAGGTGAGCTCAGGCAAACTCATATTCTTTTGATTCCTCTAGTAGAACTATTATCCATTAAGATCTCTCATTTCTCCTTTTGATAATTATCTAATTCTTTCATATTTCATATTTAACTATTTTTTATATCAAAGATTAATGTGAAATGGTTAATTATTTTAAATAAAAAAAAATAAAGGTACTTTAGAGGAAGCTAATATTGAAAATCAGTCATTTAAGCTATGTTAGAGAACATCAATGAGAATAAAACCTACATTATATTAAAAACTGCTTAATAATACACTGAAATACTGAATTTAATCAAAATCGTTAGAGCCGTTTTTGAGAAAATTGTAAAAATGTGTTAAATCAATGATATAAAGTACCACTTTTGGTTAGCCGATTTTGATGAAAATGTTGCTGTAACATCTCAGGCTTATAAAAACCTCAAATACCCAATTGCAGTTTCGCATGACTTTTCATTATTGAGATAAGCTGTTCGCACACATGCACACACACATACCATTTTGCCGGACTTGGTTATTGGACTCAGAGGACCTCAAAACATATATTTTCATTGAAAATTCAGATTTCAAAATTTTCAAGATCACAATACTTACCCTTGCCATATATTACATATAGATATTGTAATGTACACCTTTATTGGAAGTGGATAAAAAGACTTCAATAAATTAATATTCAACAGTTAAAAGCATAGCTAATCTAGTTCTACTAGTTCAGGGAAAAGAAAATAATTGCTCTGTAGTTTCTCCAAAAAGGAAAATCCCAAAGAGGAAAAAGAACAAAGGGATAGAAACATTAAGTTTGTCACTTATACAATAAATACACATCAATGCCTATGACTGAAATCTGGGAGAAAAACAATATTTCAAAATCACCTTATAAGGAAAATATTTTAAAAATCATTATTTTTTTAAATAAAATATGTTTTAGGCAATTATCTTTATTACAATAAATCCCATAACACCTAAAAACAATAAAAAAAAAGCTTTGCAACAGTTAATTGTAGTCATTTTTGCTGAAAACACAGATACTTTTAGGTGACTGAATAGAAAATACATCATTTCTTTAGATGTTGCTGGGCTCTCGGAAAAGTACTTAGGTCAAAGGTGTTGCCCTGGCAGTTAAATAAGGCCGTATATGTCCTCACCAGGAAGTCAGAACAAGTACTGAAAGTGTGGAAGAGGAAAAGTCCTGAGAAGGATTTTTGGCCCCTTGAGGGAGGGAGATCGGTGGAGGCAAAGGAACAATCAACAGCTCCATGATGTATACAAAGCCCCGGATATTGTCACCTGCATCAAGACAAGTAGAATTAGGTGACTGGGACATTTGCAGAGATTGGAGGAGCAGTGTATCCCGAAGAAGCTTCTGGATGGACACCGTGGTGGAGGGCGAAGAAGAGGGCGTCCTAGATTGCAGTGCCTGGAGGAGGACCTGAGGACACTTGGAGTCCGAAGGTGGAGAAGAGCGGCTTTGGACAGATGGAGGAGAATTGTGGAGGAGGCCAGGGTTCTGCAAGAACCGTAGTGCTGTCGAAAGAAGAAGATCATTTCTTTACACAACTTGAGTTGAATCTTAAATTATTTTTTAATAAACCTCAACTTGATTAATATTGACTTAAAGCTTATCAAACGAGAATGTTTTTCAAAAGTGGGGTAACTGCAGTACAGTTGAAGGGTGATAAAAAAAAAAGAAAAGAAATATATGATTTTATTTTAATGTAACTTGACTGTGTTTGTCTGCTCAATAGTCTTTATATCCTCATGAAAACATAATGTAAGAAAACATCTAGGAATATTCCAGAACACATTTTTACAATTCAAGTACAATTATGAGATTATATTAATAGCAGGATATGGTTTATTACAGTTTAAAATTATAATTTTGAATGCTAGAAGAAATAAATAGAAAATTAACCTTTAGCTTTATTTTCTTTGGTACAACCTTTCGGCTGCTGAGTGGCAGGATCAATGAAATCCAAATTATCAGGATCAGGGCAAAGATACTGACCCATTCGCAAAGTAGAACAATCAACTCTGTAAACATCCATGGATTGAACTAAATGTTCAGTAAGTATCAACATTAAAAAAACTGAGAAAACCATCAAACCAAAAGTTGAAAACATTTTCGAAGGTTACAGGATGGTTACTATAATTGTTTCGTTCCAATGAGATCATAGAATAAAAACATACCATTTCTGAACATAAATTTCAAAATATCGTGCGGTTCGTCACAAAAAGCTTTCAATTACTAAAAGTTAATAGAAAGAAACAAAATAAATTTTATTTTGGGACAGTTAGTACTCCAAGAACAGTTGAGATGTACAATTATAGTCTCATTCGGCAGATATAAAATCAATAATCACGAAATAATTAAGCTATGAAATAATAAAATTATAAAAATAAAGCTCAAAGGTAAGCACAGTAAGCATAAATAAATGAAAATATGAGTTATAGACATATAAAGTCGGTAATTTGCACAAGAGAACTATATAAATAAAAACAATCTGGTGCACGCAACACACAATTTTCCCTTACCGCTCTATTTTGAATAGTAATTATTTTCTGGCAATGTTGGGCTCTTATAAAATTTTTGAAGTACACTTTTAACGGAGCTATAGCTTAAAGCTTACAGATAACAATTAAGACCATTAAAATTACAAAAAGTCTATTTATTATATCGACGGTAGGCAATAAAAATGTAGTTGCCTCTGCTCCATCTGTTTTTATAAACCACACAACTTCAGTCTCTGAAGCTTAAGGTGATGTCCACTAGTGATATGGTGTTTTCTTACATTTTGGTCAAGGGTGTGTAATAAATTTTCAATGATATTTATATCTGGTGACTGAGGAGGAGTGTGGAGATATCTTGGAACATTAAACATTAACCACTCCTTTGTTCTCCTCGCAGTATGTTTTGGATCGTTGTCCTGCTAGAAATAGTACTGATCCTGGATTAACATTTTTTCGTCACTAACACGCAAATTACGTCGCAAAATGTTCACATAGCCTTCCGCATTTAAAATGCCTTCGGTGCTCACAAGATTTCCCACGCCATGGTAGGAAACACACCCCCAAACCATAACATGTCCTCCACCATGTTTTACAGTTGTTAAAACATTTTGCTTCTTTAGGGCTTCATTACGATGTCGCCATATCGTCCTTCGAATATCTGAACCAAACAAATTGAATTTGCTTTCGTCAGAAAAGCATGACATTTTCCCAAAAACTTAAGGGTTTCTGTACGTACTCCCTAGCAAAAGCAAGTCGCTTTTTGCGATTCGTTTCACTGATGTATGGCTTCTTTCTCGGAACTCTACCATGGAGCCCTTCCGAATTCATGGCATATCTAATTATTCTGCTAGTAATTTGAACTCCAGACGTTTATTGGACCATGGTAGCCAGCTCCCGAGAACTTATCAGAGGATTTTTAAGAGCTTCTTTTCTGATTTTCCTCTTCAGCCTGGGAGTTAACTTTTTTGGATGCCATTTACGCTCACTGTTTTCAGTTAAACCACGTTCTTTATACCTTTTTATGACGTATCTCACTGTAGAAAAATTCAACCCTAAGAAATCGGCAATTTGGCGATATGTTTTTTGCTGACTCCTCAGTAAAACAATTTTTTCGCGAGTTGCGGCACACAGTTCACTTGTCTTTGGCATGATAATTGTCTATTGACTAAAGGAAACTGATTGAAAGACTAGAGAATACTGGTAATAAACGATTAGAGATAAATTAATAAACAAACCTATGACCTATGGACACAGGAGGATTAATGCCAAAGTAAACAGAGCTTGTGAGTCATAGTGTGCAAATACTTTTTTCCAAGCACTTTTATTGTTTTAATTTTTTTTGTTTCATTATGGAGTGTTGTCATTTTTTTCCAAAAGGTTTTTCTCAGTTTTTAACAAATGTACTTTTCATTTTTGCAGAGGAAAGCGAAGTTTTTTTCGTTCCTTGAACTCATTTATTCACAAAAACATGATGTGCAAATACTTTTTTCCATCACTGTATAAATGATTATGGACTGACTGGACTGTAATAGTTATTAAACCGTTATTTTCCATAGTAAAGTTTACTAAAATTAAATTACTATATTTCTATTGCCTGCCATGGATAGGTCAAAAGTTGTCACACTAATTTCAAGTATATAACGTTGGGATTTCACAAAGGGAAAATTCATCAAATTATTCTCTAATTTAATTTTCTAAAAGATTACTTGATGACTTTTTGGAATAAACGGCCAATAGATACCTAATTATTTAAATATAATATCATATATAGAGTTCTTAAACTATAGTAAATGTATTTAAGTTTATAAATATATTCATGAAATATTTTTATATTTCACTTCTTCTTTAGCACAAGTACAATAAAATAGTAATTTAAACAATGGCATTGGCTTAATTCCGTGGATTTTAGATACTTTTTTATCACGCTTAGAAATTTTTTTAAAGTTTACATTTAGTAAGAAAATTTCCTTGGGAACATGTGATTTAAGTTAAATAATGTTCATTTTCTGAAATTATTATTTATATTTTTTTTTGTCACTCTCCGTTACCTTCAATAACTTTATTTATTTGATATTATTTTGTCTAAAATTCTCCACTTTCCAACGATATATTATACGTATACCTCCTTCTGACTGTTATTTCCGGAGATTCATTTTCAACCTGGATAAGCATTTTTCTTTTTTTCTCCAGTTTCCAATTATCACATTCTTTGAAACTTCACATTGAGCCATTTTTTATAGTTATTGTCAATAAAAGATATATATATATATATATATATATATATATATATATATATATCTTTTATTAGAACCACTCCAGGCTCCTCTACGGTTTCTGATGCTCGCCCCTACCTGCCCTAACAGATCGCACCCTACTATGACTTGGTATTCCCGTGCCATGTTCTCTACCACATGCACCCTTAGCTCACCCTCTTTCCCTGCCCACCGATCAAGCCTAATTATCGCCTCCCCCTCTACGCTACAGGGACCACCCAGAGTGATCAGCTGGCAGTCGCATTTCTGTATCCGGAGTACCCTCTCGCTCCCGCACACTTTCCCTAACGCCCCTCGAGTCATGATAGTGCTCGAGCTACCCGTGTCCACAAGACACTTTACTCCCCCATCTACTTCAATAATTGGCAACCAGCATGGCTTACCTCGGACACTGTTGCATGTTGCTGTGCGGTCGCCTCTCTGCTGACACACTCCTCAGATGTCGCCCCGCTTCCTCCTTACTGCCGCCGCTCGTCGCTGCTCGCTCCGTTGGCTGCCCCTACCTCCTTCGCCTCCGCTGCTGCGTTCCCGACTCCTCGGTTGCCTCCTCCGAAGATCCGTCCCTCTGCTGCACCCTAGCTCGCCTTTTCATTTTCTGAACATTCACCTCCATCGGCTCGTCCTGAGGTCTCTCTCTCCTGCGAAACATGTATGGGCACTGTCTCGCTATGTGCCCTTCGGTCCCGCACTCGAAGCATCTAGTGCGCGGACACTGCGCCACCAAATGTCCCGGCTTCCCACACCCGTGACATTTTCTCTCTTCCCTCCGGAGACCATTCCTCGGCCTCGACGACTGTCCGGATCTTCTTTCACCCATCATGGCCTTTTCTCCATTCTGTTGCCTTATTTCCCTCTTCCTCCAACCTGTCGGGGCTGTCCGTGGTCGTCTATCCGTCATTCGGATCCATCCTGGTTCCTCCATGTCCATCCGCGTCTCTTCCTCTCTTGCACTTAGGTCGATCATCTCCTGGGCACATTCGAGGAACGATCGCTCTTTGGGCAGTCCGTCCCTCCTCCCCGTTTCCTTAGCCAGCTGGACTTTCAGTTTTGTCGAAAGGAACTCCATCCTGGCTTCAACCTCTCCCACGCTCATCGTTTCACGCATCTTCTCGGTTATGCGGTTGTACTTCGCCACGAGTACCCCCGCGTACTGTCCCCTCGTCTGTCGTTGGGACCGCCGCTCCCTAAACATTTGGAAGATATCCTCTTCCGGTGTCCATCTACCTCCTCCGAAAGCCTTCTTCAATCGCTCCTTAATCACCGACCATGGAGTCTCCTCGTCTGCTTGAATCTGGTTCAGGACGTTCCTCCTTACTCGGCACACAAGAGCTGCTTTTAGTGCTTCTGCGTCCCCTAGGTTCACCAGGTCCTCCGCCACCTTTACCTCGATTCTTGACATGAGGCGATCTCCGCCTTTCAAGAAATGGTCGAGCTCACCTCGCCCCCGAAGCGTTCCAGGTCCGCAATGGCCCTCCGTAAGTCCTGCGTAGTTGCTGCTCTTATCTTCATCCATTCCAATGCGTTGGCGTGAGCTTGGCGTGCCAACGTGTCCCTCGGTAAGGGAGGGATCTCCTGGATCTGAGGAATCTGTGATACCTGAGGGATTTGAGGTATCTGAGGGACCTGAGGGGTCTGCGTGATCTGAGGTATCTGGTTGATCTGAGGAATTTCCTGAGGTTGAGGAATTTCCGGTGCGCTTAATACTCCCGGTCTAATTAAGCCCTCGGTTGGCATCTCTCCTTTTCCTTATGACTAGAAAAAAAAAAAATAAACTTAGCTAAAAAAAAAATTAATTGTTGTGTTCTCCTGACGTTGTCCCGGTTTTCGGCACCAGTTAAGCGTCGGCGGACTCCAGAAATAAAAAAAAAGAAGGAAAAGGATTGAGATGCAACACTCACGGCTTCTGAATTAACACTGCTTTATTCGTTCAATAATTCTCCTTATATACAATTAGCATGTTTGTTTACATTTCAAGATGGTATTAAGGCTGATATCGCCAGTCTCCGGTCTTTATCTTATATATATATATATTTAAATAAACCATATTAATGATACTTTAGGGGCAGATGTATATGAACGTTGGGCATTTAAGCGCTGTAAAGTGACATAAATGGGGTAAGACCTATACGATATTTTTTTTTTTATTTTTATTTATTAACGAAATTTACAGCTGTAATTAATAATAAATACAACAAGTAAATATGAACAAGTAATATGACATGTACAACATGAGGAGAAACTACCCATTGGCAGCACTCCAATTATACGATATTTAAAACCACTTAATTATACAATGATGCACCGAGTTTAATCAAAATCGTTAGAGCTGTTTTTGAGAAAATTATTA